TCGACCAGCAGTTAAAAGTTCAAAATATTTGCCGCCAGAGGCACTAGTGTCCACAAACTAGTAATCTAAAGTAAAATGCAAATAATGACCTGCTTTTTCTTCGGATTCCCTCTTCACACACGGCTTAGATGTGGGCAGATAATGTTTATCGCCTAACACACAGCCTAAAGTGGTCACAAACTCATTCAGTCGTTTAATTGTTATTGTCTTCGTCAATTTCCCTGAGGCCACAGTTAACATTCTCCAAAATATTCTTCAGTAACTTCTATTTACCGCCAAAGTTCACAAGATCACGAAAACACAAAATTCTTGCTGTCAAACGATTTTGACGTCTTTTTTTTTGTTTTGTGCCAGGTTCAGAGTCCGAGTTGGACACTTGCAAAAAGGTCCAAACGAGTTTGTTTACATTTTCGATGAGTCACTGTATTAATGCGATTTTGTTAATTTAAAATAACAAAACTGTAGTTAGAATCGTAGATACGATCAAATTATTAGGGTAAGTAGCTTTACTTTTATATTACCTACATAAAATCATAAAAAAACTATAAAAGTTGAGTTTTTGTGACTTATAAACTTTTACTGATGATTCACAAATAAAAAAAATAATCAAAATGATTAAAGATATTAAAATTCAATATCAAATTTTTAATTTAATTCTTAACAACAAGTCTAAGTAACTAAACAACGGTTATTGAAAAGAAAACAAAAAAAATGTCATTTGAAAAAACAATGTTATAGGAAAATAACAATCTTTACCTATTTAAAAACAATTAAGACTAACACATAGATAATCGCACAAACAACACAATACGAGTATTTAACTACCTCCTAATCACCAAACTCGTTAATAAAAAGTAAAGAAAAACAAAACACTATCTATGATTCTGTTTGTTGAAACTTTAAAAATAAACTCCGTTGTAGCTAAACGATAACCGCGAAAGCCAAGAAAAAAAAAACACTACGCACGCGCACTATAGATTGCATTAAATGCAATAAGGTGTAAAACTGGTTTAATAAATACACAGATGGTCGGCCGGCCGAAGGCGTACTGGTAAACAGGCCATGTTTCTTTAGTTCAAGACGCAAGCAGAGGTTAGGCTGTTTACACACGATGCAGTTATCTTGTTTAACCAATCAATTGACATACTTTTGAGTCTATCTATCTAAACGAAAGGTCACTGACTCACTCGCTCATCATGCATCTCAGAAACTAAAAAGTACTAGGAGTCTCAAATTTTGCATGGGGGTTCCTTTTAGAACGTACTAGGACGGGATTTTGCAAAATATAACCCCTAAGGGATTAAAACTAAACCCGTACAACCAAACTGTGGAATGGACTGTCGTCTGCGGTGTTTCCGGACGGATACGACCTGCAAGCTTTCAAGAGGAGAGCGTATCTTCACCTTAAAGGCCGGCAACGCACCTGTAACGCCCCTGGGTCTGCGGGTGTCTATGGGCGACGGTAATCACTTACCATCAGGTGATCCGTCTGCTCGTTTGCCTCCTGTCAAATAACAAAAAAAAAACGGGGTCCACGCGTACGTAGTCGCGGGCTAGTCAAATATAAATACTTACTTCATTGTGACGTCACTGTTTTTGAAATGTACTGTTACTAATAGAATTGGCAATAACTACCTAATAACAAATAAGAATTTTAGATAATAATCAGTTTATACAGAATTTTAAAAGATGTGTTCAGTCAGTAATATATTGTTAGGAGGGTCTCCCAGTTGGTATTATTTATACTCGTATTGTATTGAAAAGAGCCCTTAGGTATAATAAAATTTTCATGACATGTGAATGTCTTAAATGTGTATTGCTGTTGGTGTACCTTTATCAATAAATAAATAAATAAATGACGTTTTTTCTTTTGAGGATAATTTTTCGTGTTCGGGTGCCCTTAGATTGTAAATACACACGGACAGACAATGAATAATAATTGTGTTGATTATCAATTGGCTTATTGTAGTCAATAAGTAGATAGTGTACGTATACATACAGTTGTGGAAATGTACATGACTACATAAAAAACATATTAAAAACCATATATCATCAAGCATTGCGTTTGTATGGGATTTCAAACATACAATAATTTACCTTCTTTTTATTTTCTAGCTATTTAATTATGGGTTGTTTTGTTTTTATGTCATACTAGCGGCCGCCCGCGACTTCGCACGCGTGGACCTCGTTTAATTACTAATGATGTATGATGTTGATAGATGGCGTTTCACGGCTTCCCCCGCATGAATCGTTCAGTAGTTTTTGCATGAAAGAGTAACAAACATCCAGACATCCACACAAACTCTCGCATTTATAATATTAGTAGGATAAGGCTGACGGCCGATGGGGCAGCTAAGTTCAAACGCCACGTTACTGGAAAGCGCAGCGTAGGACCGACGACCTCATAAAGGTAGCAGGAAGGCGCTGGATGCAGGCCGCTACCAATCGGCCAATATGGAAATCATTGGGGGAGGCCTATGTTCAGCAGTGGACGTCCTGTGGCTGAAATGATGAATGAAATTATTATGACTTTTCTCAAAAGATAAGCGATGTTCACAATATCCTGATCCAAACAGTAGCGAAACTGAGCAAGTTTCGTAAAATTTTCATTTCATATTTAATTTTCAAATATTTTCATTTTCATATGATTTAACTTCAAAGGACCATAGATTGGTTTATGGGAGTAGCACAGGGTTTTCAGGATTGTAAGCTTGGTAAACTTCTCTCAAGGGACCTAACAAATATCTAACTAACCGTAGATATTGATATTGATTGAACTATAAACCAAAATCTATCTATCTATAGTAGCCTTTGAGTTCGCCTTCGAACATAGGCCTCCTCTTCAACCCTCCACCGACTTCTGTCCCTGGCCACACGCATCCAGTTCACTCCAGCCTGCTGCCGGATCTGATCGTCTGTCCATCGTTTAGGCGGTCTTCCCCTGCCGCGGGTGTTGTTGCGGGGTCTCCACTCCAGGGTCTTTCTGGCCCAGCGATCCTTGTTCATCCGTGCAATGTGCTCTGCCCATCTCCATTTACGGCTCTCAGTCTCTTCCACCACGTCCTTGATCCACCAATATACATATTTATTAATTACAGCTACAGGTTTTACGTTCATAAGTTAAATGAATAAAGATAGTACATCTATGAACGGTTTTCCTATTATTGATGCATTTATAAAGTGAACTAGAATTTCCAGTCGTCTCACTAATGACACAGCGGTGAAGTTGTTATATCGCTGTAAACGCTCATCAGAGATAGACGGACCACAATACAAAATAAGGTAAATTCTTTAAAATATTAATAAGTAACTGTGCCCGTGTGAAAATAGTTTGAATAATATTTCCCGTTCTTGCAACATTTTTCTTTACTGCTCCGCCCCTATGGGCTGTTAAAAACTGTAACTAGGTAGGTACCTACTTATGTTTTTCCTTTATCAATTTTATTACAGGTAAACCTAATAAAACACTCTATTCATTGGTGAAAACCAATGACATGTGAAAACCGCGTGAAAATCCGTTCAGTAGTTTTTGAGTTTCGCGAACAGAAAGACAGACGCGGTAGAGGAAATTGTTTTTGAAGTATTTTGGTTTTCCTCAAAGCGCACCTAATGAAGCGCACATAAACTATTACTCAAAGTTTAATGCTATTTGGGCAATAATTAGAAGTAGTTTCCTCATCAGCCAGACAATTTTGACAGTTCCAACTCCTTGCCAGACAGCTTTTTTTTTTGGATAGCTACCAAAACCACGATGACCTAAACTTCATGATTCACCAGCATTCTAACCTATATTGGGAGCATACGCTGACAAACTTTCAGCTTTTATAAAATGACGTAGGTCTGGCGTTCACTAGCTCTTAGTCTATTTAGTTACTAAGATAAATAAAATTAATGTAGACTTACCATAATTTAGGTGCGCTTGGAAGTAATTTTGGTGCGCTTCATTAAGTGCGCCTCATAATGGGTGCGCTAAGAGGAATACCTACCTCTTGTTTTTACGTACCTAGTGACAAAGATTTTTACTTAATCTAAACAACTGTCCTTTAGGTTGTCTGGAAGATGTCGCTTTATAGCGATAAGACCGCCTAAATTGGCCGTATCTTTTGGGGTCCTTCTTTTTTCTTTTCTTGTCTTGTGTCACACGATGATGTGTTATTATTATTATTCTGTCTAATGGCTTCAATGGTGCGAATTTACAGCACACTGGTTTTGCCAATGTCGAGGTTCTATCTATTTATTTTTTGAGTGTACAGTCAGGATCAAGTAGTTCGTGACACCCAACCAAAGTGGCCAAAAAGTTCGCTACACGTCTTTGTTATAATCGGAATAAGGTTGTGTTATATTAACTTTTCGACCACTTAGGGGCTAACTGTACTTGTACCACAGGCATAGTGATATTTACTGAGTAGGTAAGTAGATTCGTACAGTAGCGGAGCGGTCTGTAAGTCAAACAAGTCGTTTTTTCGTTTGTTTCAACCAAATGATACTGCTGGTCAAAGGCCTCCCCCAAGGATTTCCACCAGGGATGTTATGGATATCCGTAACCGTAACCGAAACTTTCGGATATCCGAAATAAAAAAATATTCGAAACCGTAACCGATTCAAAAGTTTCGGATAGTTTCGGTAGGCAGTTTAAATTGTTTTTTGTATAACATTAATGTAAAGGCATACCAGCCTGATTTTTTACCTATAAAATGCCATCTAGTATCAATTTTGGTTTTTTTATTACTTTTTATTCGATGTAAAGTGTGCGGCCATGAATGAACCGTGTTGGACAACTATTGCAAATTGCATTCTAAAGCACAGATATACGTAACCGTAACTGAAACTATCGGATATCCGAAATTAAAAAATATCCGTAACCGTAACCGAAACCGGCATAATATTCCTATATCCGTAACCGTATCCATAACCGAAACTACATCCCTATTTCCACTACGACCGGTCCTGCGCTCTGCCCGCATCCAAAGCAAGTTAACCTGTTTATTTTCTATTTTCAGATGCAAAAAAAATATTTCTTCTTTTGCATCGTTGCCACAACGCTTGCGTTGCCTCAAAGAGGGAAACATGACTTGACGCCATCAGCAAGCACCGACAGTAAGTCATTAATCATTAATTAAAATAAATCATTAAGTCATTTCTGCCCGTTTTCACCATCAATCCCTAATTTTTAAGTGACCCCTATGGTAACACATAACAAGAATTTTGTTTTCATAGGGGTTCCCTCTAATTTACTGGTCATCATCATCATTTCAGCCATAGGACGTCCACTGCTGAACATATGCCTCCCCAATGATTTCCATATTGGTTAGTTGGAAGCGGCCTGCATCCAGCGCCTTCCTGCTATAGATTGTTTCATCCACGAAGACGCTCCCCACCGATTTTTGTTCGAGGTATGCGCGGGGTGCAAGGAGTTTGATTCGAGCAATCCGAGCGTCATTATTGCCGTGTGCGTGTGCACTCATGGATGATTTAGCGTGTACCGATAACAGTCAAACATTAGCGGACGAATGGTGGGGCGCGTCTTCGTGACGCGAGGTTCTCCACTCCAGAACCTTGCTGGCCTTGCTGCCCTATCGGTCGTCAATTCTGCGTACTATTAATGTGCCCTGCCCAGTAATCAAGGTTCTCTATATTTTCATTTCAGGTCAAGAGTTACATTCTTTAGTGGACCAAATATTCGGACCTGATAGAGTGAAGCCATCACCACTGGCATCATCAACATCATCACCCAGTGATGACTCCGGAACCAGTAAGTTTACTTCCTAAACTAACCCATTTTCTGAATTAAAATTCACACATTGAGCGTACTATGTTCGTATACCTCCAAAATATTAATCTTCAAAACTAGCGGCCGCCCGCGACTTCGTACTCGTGGATCCCGTTTTACCCACTTAGGGGTGGAGTTTCGTAAAATCCTTTCTTAGCGGATGCCTACGTCATAACACCTACCTGCATGCCAAATTTCAGCCCGATCCGTCCAGTGGTTTGGGCTGTGCGTTGATAGATCAGTCAGTCAGTCAGTCAGTCAGTCACCTTTGAGCTATACAGGGTGGAATTTTGTAATGCCACCTGAAGGGAAAGTACTCTTAATATTGTAGATAGAATTTTTTTCTCAAAGAAAAATTCAAAGAATTTTTTTCTGCATTCAAAGATTTCCAAAAATTTGCTTGACACACCCGGTAATCGAACCAGCTAAAATCTGTTAAAAATTACACCCTGTATTTTTATTGTATCGATTGTTAGGGTTAAGTATAAGGATGAAATCTCTCTAACAAACTTGATAAATCAAATGAAAGGAAAACCATGAAATCATTTTAATTATGAACAGAAAATTGTATGGTACGGTAGAGAATTTTCGAAAAATTTTCGAAAATCTGAATGCAGTTTCCTTTCTTTTCAAAAATAAAGAAATGTTTTCTTTCAGTAAAATTTTCTATCTACAGTATTAAGAGTACTTTCCCTCCAGGTAGCATTACAAGATTCCACCCTGTATACTCGTATATTTAGATAATAATCTTATTATAGTCCTACCTGTTACTATAATAACACTAGTCATACGTTATACAGTGTGAGTCACGTTAAAGTGTACATTATGAAAATAGATGAAAGTAGACTTATTTTTATCGACAAAAAAGAGGTCAAAAATTTTTTGAGATTTTTTTTTTATTTTTTATAGAATTTTTTTTCTTCCAATTACTTATTGTAAAGAAAACGTAATAACTTTTAAACTAAGCGGTATATCCTGATAAATAAAAAACAGTAATAATGCTAAATAACAGGCAATACTAAAAAATACATAAAAATACATAAAAATACACAAAAAAGGCCAACAAATAATAAAAAATGATACTTTTTGAAAAAAATCTGCTTTTAAATTCGTGATTTTTTTTTGGTTATTTGATAAATTTCTCCAAAAAATGCCTCTATAACTGGTGGTTTTTATTACTTTGTATTATTCTCTATCGTATTATCTTTGTAAAACCAAAAATCACATGTCTCTATCCCTATCACAACATTTGCTATGATCGTTTGAACAAAGGCCTGCCACAACATTATTCTCCGCTACAGGTAGAGACAACTTTAATTTTAACTAAAATGCTTATTTTACTTCGAAATATTTTGTTTTTATTTGAAATCTAACTTGTCTTTATCAAAATTACAAATCTAGAGCCATTTTCAGTTTCGTTGTTAACGAAGCGTTGAATGGCGCGCCCGGAGAGGCTTAGTTCAAACGATCATTGCAAACGTTGTGATAGGGATAGAGACATGCGATTTTTGGTTTTACGAAGGTTTTACGATAGAGAATAATAAAAAGTAATAAAAATCACCAGTTATAGGGGCATTTTTTGGAGAAATTTATCAAATGACCAAAAAAACACGAATTTAAAAGCAGTTTTTTTTTAAAGTATCATTTTTTATTATTTGTTGGCCTTTTTTGTGTATTTTATGTATTTTTTTAGTATCGCTTGTTATTTAGCATTATTACTGTTTTTATTATATCAGGATATACCGCTTAGTTTAAAAGTTATTACGTTTTCTTTACAATAAGTAATTGGAAGAAAAAAAAATCTATAAAAAATTAAAAAAAAATCTCCAAATTTTTTTGACCTCTTTTTTGTCGATAAAAATAGGTCTAGTTTCATCTATTTTCATATGTACACTTTAACGTGACTCACACTGTATTTCATTTTGAACTAACCCATAGACCAATTTGTAGTCTGATCTAATAAAATATTTGAATTTATATTATTTCAGCCCCTGACTTGGAAGCTGCACTGGACAAAATATTCGGACCTGCTGAAGAGAAGCCCAAGAAACCATCACCATTGGCATCATCAGCATCATCATGTGGTGATGACACGGAAACCAGTAAGCTTACTCCCAAATCTAAGACTGAGTTGCACCCGCTAAAGCCCGGTCTGTGAGCAAGTAGAATTTGGTCCAATGACCCCAAGCTCCATCCTTATCGCTCGCGCGTAATTATATTGCTGTCGCGACTGTGCGACGGGCGCCCGCAGTGAGTGTGCGAGCGCGACAGCAACATGCGAGCAACGCGCGAGCGATAAGGATGGGTAGCTTGGGGTCATTGGACAAAATTCTATGTGCTCGCAGACCAGACTATAGCGCTATTTTCGGCTAAACGCAGCCAATGACAGGACGCGCGTCCTGTCATTGGCCTATGCCAAGAAAAAACTCTGCCTAGTACCACAGAATAATAATAAGTACTTACTAGTACGCTCAGTGATCGCCATCGCCGACGCAATTTGGTTTGGCTGAAGCTTTAAATATGAAAAGTTAATCTGTTGTCTTTACAATTTCGTTTCAGAACCAGACTTGGAGGCTCAAATATTCAACCCTGACGATGGAGAGAAGACCGAGGCGCCATCACAAGTGGTACCATCACCACCGCCACCAATTGTCGATGGCTTTGTGGGAACTGGTTAGTTTATGATAATAATAATAAAATTAAAATGTAAAATAAAGTGTAAAATGTGGTAGGCGTCCCGTAGTCTCATCAATATCCCGGCAACCAGTCCAGCAATAGGGATGTTTCCTGGGTAAAAAAGCAAGAGTTTTAATTAGTCCGTCAGTTAGCTTATCAAAAACTACTCGACACGTATTTTTCACTTTTTCAAATTCAAATTCATAATGAAAATGTAAAGAGATAAATACACTTATGAGTAATAAATTTATGAAAACAAATATTAGGATACATCACATTTATGAATATTATAGTTATTTATTCGAATGATTATGAGTTTCGATCATTAGTATAGAAAAATATATGAAAACAAATATTAGTAAAAACTAAGTGTATGATTAGTGATATTATGAATATCAATGATTATGTTTTTAAATATGTAGGTTTTAAATTTTTTATGAAGAATGATCATTATGATATCAAATTGTATGAGAAATATTTTCGGACCTCCAATGATATGAATTGAAAAGTTATGTAAGAAAATGCGCTACCCATCCCAACACATTATCGTATCTCGAAGGGGCCTGTTGGATCTGTATCCCCATGAACGCCTTCCAAAAGGACCAGCCTCCGCGCCGTGCTTATCCACAGGAGAGATACAAAATAATAATAATAAAACGGGGTTCCAATCCAGAATCTTCCTTTCTATAATTCTCTATTCTTCTATTTTTTATTTAAAAGAAACTTAATTTGTTACAGGCGAGGAGTGCGATCTCCTTGGTCGAACAGGCATATGTGTGAAGGCACCAATGCAGAAAGGCAGCCTCACTCGACGACAATGAGTTGGACGTGCACGGAGGGCAAGTATCAATAAAAATTATTCTTAACTAGCTTTTGCCCGCGGCTTCACCCGCGTGAAAATTCTTTTGTCACAGATCGTCATAAATTATAGCCTATATGTTAATCTGGGCTATAAACAATAATACTGTAAAGTTTCAACAAAATCCGTTCAGTAGTTTTTGCGTGAAAGAGTAACAAACATCCAGACATCAAACTTTCGGATATCCGAAATAAAAGAATATCCGTAACCGTAACCGAAACCGGTATAATATTATTCCTATATCCGTAACCGTATCCATAACCGAAACTACATATCCATAACATCCCTAGATTTATCCTACATTCCCCACGCTATCCAGGATGGTTGGGGATGCCTATGATGTTCGTTTATTTATCCCTTAGTCGCCTTTTACGAATCCACAGAAAGAGTTTTTCTAATTTCATGGTTGTTAAGTAAGTAATTCTAGAAAATTTAAAGCTGCTCATTTTGTTTTTAGGGTATTAATCTACTGCGAAGTAGCTGAGGATGTGTGCTGCAAGGAGCTCTTAAATAAAACCATAACTACGTAAGTGGTTACTTTCTATATTCTACTACTTAGGGAATCCACACACCGTAGCATTTTACTAGAAAATACATAGCTATAGAAATTGCAAAAAAAAATTACTGTCTTCTTTATGTAACTTAGGCTGTGTTGCACCACCTAACTTTGACCGTAACTATAACGATAACGAATGCTTTTTGTATGGAGTTTGACAGATTTTTAACGTTTGTCAAAGTTAAAGCAAGATGGTGCAACCCAGCCTTAAAGTTTTATTTATTTACAGTTTACTGTCTTCTTAAAATTTAACTTTTAATATTAAAATTGGATTTTCTTCTTTTTCAGGTGTAATCAGAACACTTCAGATTAAAGAAAATCGTTAGAATAAGACATACCTACTCGACATTTACATTTTAATCTTTTTATCATAATTAAATCAATTCAATGCCTTAAAAATGTTTTATTTTAATTCTGTTTCAAATCAATCTAGGTATTTATCCTCTATTAAAAAACGTACCAAAAACTTTAGCATTTCTCCCCATGAAAATTTATAGAAAAAAGTTAGCCAATGCCCTATCCATCTATTTCTATCAAATCATCATCATCATAGTTGGTCCATAGAGGCGTTTATAGCAAAGCAAATAGAATAGACCATCAGTTTACCCACAAGGTGCACAAACGACCTCATAAAGGTAGCAGGAAGGCGCTGGATGCAGGCCGCTACCAACCGGGCAATGTGGAAGTCATTGGGGGAGGCCTATGTTCAGCAGTGGACGTCCTGTGGCTGAAGTGATAATGATGATGAAAAATCCCCTTCAGGGGATTATTAATGTAGATGCTTTATTATAAGCTAGAAAACCAGTTTTGATTTATTTTAAAGGAAGTTGATTTCACGTTACCGGAAAACGCAGCGTGGGACGTCCACCCACAAGGTGGACCGAGCAGGAAGGCGCTGGATGCAGGCCGCTACCAACCGGCCAATATGGAAATTATTTGGGGGAGGCCTATGTTCAGCATTGGACGTCCTGTGGCTGAAGTGATAATGATGATGAAAACTCCCCTTCAGGGGATTATTAATATAGAATTGTAGATGCTTTATTATAGGTAGGTATAAGCTAGAAAACCAGTTTTGATTTAAAGGAAATTGATTTCACATCTAAAGCAAACATTTTTTATTAATTTAGTTATAAAAAAAGAAAAACAAAACACGTGTCGCAAATTTTCTCCTTTTTTGTTTTTTCTTCCCTGCCAGCTTACAAAGAAAGAAGTCTGATGTCAATTTTCCCTCTTTTTTTATTCAGTGCCAGTATAAAAAGGTTTCAAACGTTTTATTTTTGCAATTTTTAACATTTCGTTAGGGTGATTGTACTAATGCCGTCAAATGATTTTACGAAATGTTTTTCCAAAATTCAATACTCTAAGTCTTCCTTGTAACAAAAACCGGTATCCTTCCTTATACCATAAACATACCATGCAGGTTACTTACAGTAGGGTTGTCGCCATGTGCTCGTATTATAAATTTGAATTAGCGTAATTATAAGTGTAATTTTTAACCAACTTAAAAAAGGAGGAGGTTAACCGAAGATGTTACCGCACAGAACACCGTTAATTTATGAACCGATTTCCAAATATTTTTTTGTTCGATAGGGTAAGTGTACTCCCGAGATGGTCCCATTGTTACCAAGTCAGGGTCTGATGATAGGATCCTAGGGAAATCAAGGGAAACCCTCAAATTGTCTAGGCACGTATAACGTTTTTCATATTTTTTAAGCTACCAGGGATGCAGGGCCGCGCCAACCGCCGCCAGCGCCTGTGTGCGGAACCTATGAAGCGCCTCTTTTCTAATGAATCGTCATAAAAAAACGAATTTAAATTTTTAACGAATATTTTAATTGTTAATTTTGACTAAAATAAATGTTCTCCAATTTTACAGTACTTATAGCCTGACCAGGAACNGTCGCATCGGGTTATGTTCATAAACTCACTCATAGTCATAAAAATATTGTATTACACACTCGGCGCCTCTACGGTTCAAAATAACTATACTTTATTTGAGGTTCAAAAGAAACGGCGGCGTTTTACGTTGAGCTCGTAAGTAATGTAAACTAAAACCCTATGCGCTTAGGTTTTATTAATCTAAGCCTAAGCGTAAAAATGAAACCATACACTTGAATCATAATAAACATATAAATATTGAGAGACTTGTTTAATAAGCATAATATTTGTTTTGTTGTGTACAAGGCTTATGTTGCGCATACTGTACCTACTTACTTATCGATACTCCATTTAAAAAAAAATAGGTGGCAGTAGCGGCGCGGCGCCCCTATTGTCTTGGCGCCTGTGTGCGCCGCACACATCGCACACAGGGGCGGCGCGGCCCTGCAGGGATGTTATGGATATGAAGTTTCGGTTATGGATACGGTTACGGATATTAGAATAATATTACTAAGATTTAGACTCCGCCTTTATCCGACCGAAACTATCCGAAACTTATGAATCGGTTTCGGTTACGGATATTTTTTTATTTCAGATATCCAATAGTTTCGGTTACGGTTACAGATATCCATAGCATCCCTAACTTATTCAAGTATTATTTGCGTCTGAAAGTCATCATCTCGTTGATGATCATCTCATGCAATTTTTTTAATTAATAAGATAAACATTCCAATAAATTATCTCTAGGCAGAATTAATAAGGTACTTTGCGTATTTCCCACGCGGTAACCCTGATAGTGATTCACGACCAATTAATATTCAATACAATTCTACAAGTTGGACGGTCCCAGCTTTTAATAATATTATTTAAATGTCACGAGGATAACATTAGTACTTCATATAAGTTTGTGAAGCCAAGCTTGGAGGTCTCTCGGTTCGACATATTAAATAGAATTAAGGTAAATTGTTAATAATATTCAATAGTGTTGGTGCGTAATAATAACTAACATTTATTAACTAGCTATGTAGGTAATAAATTACTTAGTAATTTATAAGGTTTAAAGATTCTTTATTTCTCAATAAAAACATAATATTGTCACTTACTTGAGAACAAAATTATAATTATGCATTTTTAAAATAATGTAAGATTTTTTCAAAAGTGCTATGGTTCTATTTCACACAATAGTCTTACAATATTAAAATTATTTTTATACAAGTTCCACAACATTATTTATAGTTCCAAAATACTGAACTGTCCTATCGATGACATTGACAGTGGGGCGCCACCGTCAATACCGGATCGCTGGTTCCGATTTTTGCCATGTTGGAAACCATATAGTTGAACGATGGTAGCGCCCCCCTGTCATTGAGTTTGGTGGGACAGTTCAGCGTGGGTCATCTATAGCTAATAATTCAGAAAAAACCAAATCTGTCACTTTAGAAAAACAAATCTGGCACTATAGTTCCAAAATACTGGACTGTCCTGTCGATGACATTGACAGTGGGGCGCCACCGTCAATACCGGATCGCTGTTTCAGATTTTTGCCATGTTGGAAACCATATAGTTGAACGATGGTAGCGCCCCCCTGTCATTGAGTTTGGCGGGACAGTTCAGCGTGGGTCATCTATACTTGGTTTAGGCACTAAAGTGCAAAGGCCCAAAAGTTATGGAGACATGTAAAATGCCCCTTAAAGGGCTACCTTTTTTTTATTTACTATATTTTGAAGTTCATAAGTGCCACTTGTGGTCTAAATGTAATAAAATATTTTTGATTTTGACTTTCCCGCCTTTGACTTCTTGGCGCGAAAGTAGAAGCGTCATGGGTAGAGTAGCAGTTTTGACTCTTTTTTTACATTCATTAATTATTTTTTGTGCTGACAATAGTGAGTGAGTATCTTGCGCTGCTTCTTCTCACCCAAAAAGTTATTACTTCGGAAGTTAAGAAAGTTCTCAGCACTGGGACGTCTAAAAGTGCCTTTTAAAAGCCTACTTCATCATCATCATCATCATTTCAGCCACGCGTCCACTACTGAACATAGGCCTCCCCCAATGCTTTCCATGTTGATCGATTGGTAGCGGCCTGCGTCCAGCGCTTCCCAGCTACCTTTAAGATGTCGTCGGTCCACCTTGTGGGTGGACGTCCCACGCTGCAACCACTACTTACTTGCATTATACCTACATATAAATGAGTTTTTTTTTCTTTGTGTCTAAAGTGATGCAATGAACATTTTGCGATAGATAATGATGCAATGGTCTTTATGTGTGAGCAAGACTAGGTTGGCAGCGCACGATACAGCCATTATGGATGCCAAAAAAAAAAATAAAAAAAAATAAAAAAGAAATTGTGGTATGCATGGTGCAGTGTGTGATGGATCATTGTTTAAATTATATTAATGTTTTAGCTTCCCTTCAGTAGGATATTTAAATTCATAATGGTTGTCACTCGAGAAGGTATATAGAAATGTTTAATGTTGGATTGTCATAATTGGCCTACAAAATCTACTAAAAAACATTGTTATTAGATACAGATTGATATTGTGCTGTGTACTATCCTTAAATAAATAAATAAATAAATAATTTTTTTTATGATGACAATTTTCATTTTTTTTTCAGATGTTCAAATTGACAGTAACACTTTTGTGTTTCGCCTCGGCAATGGCACAAGACTTGGACGCCATGTTGCTAGACATCTACGGTCCAGACATGACCGTTAATATGATCTACAAGAATTCTGAAGAAGCGAGAGACATGAATGCTGAGATGCCTTCAAATCCTGAAGAAGAAAGCGTGAATGTTGAAATGCCTCCAAATCCTGAAGAAAGGGTGAATACTGAGCTGCCTTCAAATCCTGAAGAAGCGATAGAAGCTGTGAATACTGAGCTGCCTTCAAATCCTGAAGAAGCGATAGAAGCGGTGAATACTGAGGTGCCTTCAAATCCTGAAGAAGCGGCAGACGTGGTGAATACTGAGGTGCCTTCAAATCCTGAAGAAACGGTAGACGTGGTGAATACGGAGGTGCCTCAAATTGCTGAAGAAAGGGTGAAAAGGCAAGCGCCTTCAAAAGACGGTAAGAAATTTTTTTTTAATATAAAAATTGGGGGGAAAATTGGCGCTCGAAATTGAAACCGCCCTTTAAAAAATCGTTAAGCCACCTTACACATAAAGTTTATCGCCCGTATTCACAAACGATGCTTGCTTAAGTGAAGCAGCAAATCGAACGCACAGCGTTGAATAGAGCTCTGAGATTGGTTCGTGTGTCACCCTGTGCGTCCACGCGCACTGTGAGACCTCATAGTAATGTTTGTGAACACGGGAGTTACTCTCGTCGTACCTAGGTACCTAAGTAACTTACAGAATTATCAGAATTACATACTCGTAAGTATCAAAAATATTTAATATGGTTTTACAAATCTCCTCTCCTGGAGTCTTTGGCGAA